GAGGCAGCTTTGGTTTATTGGGGCATGCTATGCCCATGAACTTCACCCTGTACATTTGTACAAAAAAAAAACTGAAACAAAGAGGATTTGTAACTGAGTTGCCTCTTCCTTGAAGCTGTCATGCTATCTAACAGCTAAATGAGCCCTTGTATCAAGTAGTAGGGTGGCAGCAAGGAAAAGTGGGGAAGTGTAAGAAGCCAGAGCTAATTGTAATATTAAATTAGCCTGTTTCCTTTAAGTGAAATGAAGCTTGCTAGCTCATACATAGGGTGTGAATACACTGCATTACACCCCACCATTTATGTCAGTTAAATATTATTATTATTTATTTTCCTCCTAATACATGACGTAAAGCTAATTACAAGTAATTCTGCTCCTTTTTCACCATCATTGTATTTTTTGCCCCACTGGCAGGGATTATGGCTGTCAGTGTGTCCTATTTTATGGTGGTCAATCTTCAGAGAATAGCCTTCTATATAAAGGGCTGTCCAATCCAAGTTAATTTTAAGATTCAAGGTGAGCAAATATGACCCTGGAGATCAAACATCAACAGTTAACTCCTGCTCACTTGGTACTGGTATCATGTTTTTGTTTAAAATGTAGTCATTATTTCTAGATGTCTACATTCATGGAAATAAATGTATTCACATTTTATGCAATATTCTTTGACTGTCTTTTTTGGTAATGTATAAGTGGCCACCTTATTCATATTTATTTATTATATGTTTTGAAATTATTTATGTACTGCTTCTTGCTCACCAGGTCTCCGGAAGCAATACACACAGCGGACCAGGCAGGATATGTTACATCGTCAATATAGATTTGACTACAAGTCTCAGCTCATTGTACTGAATGATCTTGAGCTACCAGTAGTTTTTTTTTTTGTTTTTTTTTTTTGGACTTATATACCGCCCCATAGCGCTACAAGCACTCTCCGGGCGGTTTACAATTTTAATTATACAGGCTACACATTGCCCCCCCCAGCAAGCTGGGTACTCATTTTACCGACCTCGAAGGATGGAAGGCTGAGTCATCCTTGAGCCTGCTACCTGGGATTTGAACCCCAGGTCGTGAGCACAGTTTTAGCTGCAATACAGCGTTTTAACCACTGCGCCACGAGGCTCTTCAAAGTTATGTTGTAGTTATGTTGCCTAATCAGTCTGCTGTCCATCTGCCGTCTTTTGATGGGCAACTTCAAGGCCTTTGTCTCCCTTTGTGTTGTGGTTGTTATCTTTAACTCAGACTTAAAATCTTCAAACAGTGAATGCTTTCAAACAGAGGACTGCACTCTAGTAGTCATCAAACAGAGAGCCAATACTATAAAGAAAGATAGATGGCCACCCTGTGTTGCTTTTTGAACAGGATATTAAGTTGGTGGAAAAGAAATGAAGCCTACCTAGCAAAATACAAACATAAGCAGCAGTTAATTAAAATGCCAGTGAATCAGCATTGGAAATATATCCAATACTTCTTAATGAGTCTTGTTTTATCTTAAGCAACTGTGTGTGCTTCCATTAAAAAAGCCTAGTTAGTGGAACAAAAAACAAACTGGAAGCAATAAAGTGACACTCATCTAAACCTATATTAGAAATGAGTGATGAATCATAGAAAATGCTTATTAAATGACAGATGGCAGCAGCAACTGACAAGCAAGGGAAATATTTGTTATTTTAATCTAAAACAACAAGGTTCATGCAGCCATGAGGAACTGGATTAATTTTTAAACAAAAACAGATCAAGTACTGTTTCTTATGCTTTACTGGCACTTTGGATGAAGCATTTTTATTTCAGATTTAGGGATTGTATAACCAAGGTTGGGGCCCTTTCCCAAGCCCTATCTTCAAATGCCCTTCTAAAGCAATAAATGTAGATTCTGTTTTTACCTAGTGATGAGTTTCTGTAGTAGAGGCGTCTGTTGAATTGCCATAAATTCAGCACTAAGCTCTCTGCACTCTGCTAGCGTTAATACCACATATTCTTAGAAACCTGTTTATAAACAGCTTTTTAACCTTAAGAAAGTTCTTTGAGGCAGTTCAAAACCATAAAGAGATGTTTTCAACATTATAAAAACTGAATGCATCAGAATCACTGATACCAAATCACCTACCTCAATCCATCACCACCTCATCCCATACTGTTGTGCTCTTTGTTACCTCTCTGTAATGGAGCATGCCTGGAAGCACAGTCCAAGGAAGATATGAGGGGAAACACTGCTTCAGAAAACCCTGCCAGCTACTCTCCTGCTGCTGAACCATGTGATCCCCTTGCTGATGTCGCATTAAGATTCACCTAGCAGTCTACTCAGGTTCTGTGCAGGGAATGCAGGGAGGGTGTCATCCTGTCCTTTACTCAGGTAGCAAAATGTCTTTGAATGGCCCTGATAAAATAATCAGATGTCAAGCACTGGAGAAGCTGGGCATAATTCCGATCACCTCAACCACTGGAGAGAGGCAATGTAGTCCAACTTATATAGAAAGCGCCACACTGGAGAACACTGTCGTGACTATATTTTGTAAAGAAAAGTGATTTCCAGATTTGTTTGTGATTGTAAATTGGAGTTCTGCTTTAGGAACAACTCTGAAGATATGTTGCTGTTTGGGAGAAAGTCTCTCTTTCCTCCATTCCCATACTATTTGATGGGTCCTGGGCCAGCCCTACCATTTGGCAGAGCAAAACAATCACGATAAGGAGTGGGGAACAGCAGTGAGAGTTCCAAAGTTTTTCCTCCTGGGTCCTCTGGCTTTTCCCGAGCCTTGGAGGACAGAATTGTGTATCTACATAGCTTCCTTTGCAACCCTAAGCTGGCCTGCTGCCATCATCAGAGCTTGGGATAATTATTTTGAAGTGGCAGACTACAATTCACAGAATGAATTCATGGTCAGAGCCAGCGTCCATACTGCCCGGGAACTGTAGGAGTTGTAATCCAACTTCCAATTTCAAGGTGTGAGGAGGACGTTTCCCCATTGCCAATCCGGGAGTAAGGTTCAACTGCCAATCTAGTCAACTTCTTTCAACTTCATTGTGTTTGCCTCTAGCAACATAATGTCTTGAGACAGCCCTACAAGCCCCTCAATGGACATAAAGGTATGCAATTCAGGGGGATACCAGGAACAGCACCTTACCTTCCAGGGAAGGTGGCTGACCCTATGACATTGTGAAATACTTTGAACTGTGCAGTCCAAGTACAAAGCAGTGGTGTTTCATTATCCTTTGGACTGGTCTCTTTTCTTGGCAAATTTTTGCTGCTTGATTTATTCAAGAGCCACGTCCATTAAAGCCAAGCCTGATTTACAAGCAATATATTCATGAGAGCAGCCATTAATGACGTCCTTGAGGAGGTCCTGCAGACACATTCATTTTATTACAACTGGCATCATAATATATTGTACTCCAAGAACAGTTGAGCTTTAAATAGTGATTTTACAGCATGTGCTGCCCTATACTTATTTTTAAAAGGCATTTTCACCTTCATACTTGGAAGGTTAAGAGAACAGCTATAGAAGTGACTGTGTCTGCAGAAAAACGGGGAAAGGGGAATAAAGGTTTTGCAGCCTTGCAGGTTTGCTTTGAAAAGCTTTACTGGAGCATACGAGCTGGGGGCTCTCAGAGCAGCTTTCAGGAGCTGAAGTGAGAGTGTGCCAAGACTAACCATTACTGGATAATAATGGTGAACATCCAGCCAATGTCAGGGGCTTAGAAGGGCAGAATTCATCAAAAGAAACCTCTGGAATGCAATTTTCTTTGAAATGAGCTTCACACACAGAACACTTACAAGAGCCATCACAAGACATTTTGCTGCCTAAGGACAAGATGATACTCCACCTGTACTCCCGAAGCTGTTTGAAGTAATACTCTTTTATTGTAACGAGAGTGCTGATAATCTCTCTAAAACTTTTTTGTCCAATGGGTTGGCCAACACTGGTTGCTATTTACTTCAGTGAGGCTAGTGCAGTGCATTAATGAAATTTTTTTAGAGGAAAATAATTGCATTTGCCTCACTATCAAGATACAGCCCATCTCACTATGCAACACCAAGAAACAGTTGGTTATAACTGGTTATAATAGGGAGAAATATACCTGGGGATGGGAGAGGCAAGCAGGCAGATCCAGTTTATGGTTATAACCATCACTCCAGGTATATTCCTCCCTGCCCCCCCCCCCGAGTGCATGGAAGACTTTGGCTCATGCTCATACAAATGTGAGAAGGATTGCATATCCTGCCTCATAAATCATTCACTGCAAAGTTTGAATTGAGAGGGCAGGGCTGGCAGTCTGAAATATTGCTCTGGGGCCAGTTTACACAGGGCCCTGCAACCCACTTGCACAGTTGACCTTCTGCATGAATGGCTAACATGTGGCCCTCCCAATGCTACTAGATAGCACACAATTTCCAGCATCCTTCACTATTGGCTCATGGGCAACTAGCCAAACAGTAGCTGGTGGGAGGCCAACTATACGCAGAAGAGCACTGTTTGGCTAAAACATTGAACAGTGCTTGAGTTGTAGACTTCCGTGTCATACCACATGCCCCATAATCCACTGCAAAGAAATGAAGTGATATACATGTGAGAACAATGTTAAAGAGCTTCAGTTCAAAACCCGCCTACTGGAAAAACTGCTCATTGTGTGTAAATTGCTGAATACTGTGTATCTTCAGAAGTTCAGCTGTGTCTTCTACTCTATCTAGTCTTCCCAAGATCTTTGCGGCTTACTCTTCAGTGGTTCCTCTCCATTGGACATGGTAGCTAACACTAATGGAAACTGCAATCTTAAACATTTGGAGGGTACCAAATTGGGAAAAACTACTAGAGAACACGTCAAACTGCCATATGGATTGGCATCTATCTATTGGAGAGTTTAAGGAGAAAAGCATTCTGCTTGTTCAGTCTGATTTGGGGGAGGTTAGGTGACCATTTTGATTTGTACATCGCACCAAACGCCTCAGAAAGACCTCATGTTCTCCCAGTACCTTTACTTTCAGAAAGAGAGCAAACAACCACTTAGTAAAATAGTCGGAAATATTTTATTATAAAAATCTGCATGTAAACAAGTTACAAATTGAACAGTTAATGAAAGTGCAAATAAACTTCAAAAATTATATGTATTCTATTTTATATTTATTCTGTTTAGGCAAATGCACTTTGAATGGCACACTTCCAACCCACATTCAGTTTTCAAAAGATCATTGCTTTTTAATATGGTATATATACCACAGGGAAAATGTTGTACGAGCCTGCGTACATGTATTCAAGTTTTGTTCTGCAAAGGAAACATTTTCAGTAATTCTCTCCCCACTCCTTTTTTCACGTGTCACTGTCAATTTTGATCCTTGCATTCTTGATAGCCAAGAGCACAGCTAGCAAAGATACACAATGAGAATGTAGGTGTACAAAGATGCTGAATTTGAAATGAGTTCAGTCACTTGTACACACCAAGTCTTATAAACCATTTACCAGTGAAGGCCCAGTCCACTTGCCTACAAGTCTTGCTTAGAAGAACCATAAGGCATGAAGGAGTCCCCCCCCCCATCACGCTGTATAGTTTTGTGTTCAGAGTTCTTTTCCTTCACTCATAACAGTCAGAGACACATTTGCAGCCCACACAAATTCACACACAGCATCTGGTCATATTGAGAAAGGGCCGTTTTTAAAGCACTGATAAGTCATGGCAAGATTTAGACTTGACCTTAAATGCCATCTTCTTATTGTTCTTGGCCACAATTCTCCCAAGGAATCGCTTGGCTTTCTTGCTGATGCTCTCCCGCCGTTTTGTGCTGGCCATCCTCCGGGCATTGTCTTCTTTACTGTCTTTGCGTAGCCGGATTTGCCGAACAATTCCCTCAAACAGGTCTTTGACATTGTGGTGCAGAGCAGCTGAGGTCTCAATAAATTTGCAGTCAAACACAACAGCACAGGCTCGTCCCTCTGAAGAGCAAAAGGAGAACAGTTAATGATGCTATGGAGGTTCAGCACAACACAGAGTCTGAACTGAAGATCACCAACTATTTAAGGGCTTCTCCTAATCAAACTATAGCTCCACTTAGTAAAACATCCTATTTTCTTCCAGATTCCAGACAGAAGACTTCTGGAAGTCCACAAGATTTCTTAGTGCCCCAGGAACCATTTTTAGCCCTATACTTCTCCTTTATTTCCTGCTTTCATCCAGTTGCCAATTCATTCAGGATATTCACAAGTGATCATTTTCCATGCCCTTGATTTCACCCTCCATTCACTTCACCTTTTTTAGACTCCTCCTCAAGGCTTAAAATTTAAGTAAAAGAGGGAAACCTATAGTTCAGTGAACAGAGCACAGGGCTGGCATGGAAAAACTCCCCAGTCCAATCTTGTATATCTCCATAAAGCTAGGAAAGATCAGAGTTGAATAAATAAATTTTGGGGAGTATAACAACCCCAAACCCCCAGCCATCATAGTCATTATCCCTCCAGGCAGGCAGGTAAACTCTTAAAAAAAGCAACTTCCTCAAGTTCTTTTACCCTCTACCCTTGATGGGGCCTCAAACATTAACTATTCATGCCAACTCTTTAGGACAGAGCAGCCAAAAGTACAGGAATTAATCAGTCACATAGTTTGGTGAATTACACAATCATCTGCATCTCTTGACTTATCTGCATTGAACCAGTGGTAGCAAAGCGTATGTGAACTGGCTACAGGCCACACACACACTGTGTTGCACGTTTCTGGCTGGTGTAAGACCAATGTTAGTCCACTGGGACTAGTTTTGAAGCGAACTATGTACAGAACTTGAAAAAGCTACTTGTATGAATTTACAACTCCAAGAATTCATCCCAGTGACCAGGATGACGAGAGGAACCTGGCAGTTATAGCAGAAAAAAGAACTTTTCCATCTTTCAAATGTACATATATAAATCAGCCCAATGAATGCTACATGGGCAATTTAACAAGATCTTTGATCTTTCATTTTCTTCTCCAGTTTTTGCCCAATTTTTGTGTGCAGGATCAGAAAACTTCCCAATGGCTCACTGATTTAGCAGCTCTAAATCTCCATGAATGGAACCCCACCAACCGCTATACAAATTTATCCAGTATTTACATTTATATTAGGATAATATCTCTTACCTTCAACAGAGACTTCCCGTGATCGGACCAGGTCACTTTTGTTTCCTACAAGGATAATAGGAATGTCTTCTGTCTGCCTGGCTCTTCGCAGCTGAATTCTCAGCTCTGATGCTTTCTCGAAGCTCACTTTGTCCGTTACAGAGTACACAATAATGTACGCATCCCCCATTTTCATACAGTGGTTCTGAAGCCATTGGCTATCATCCTAAAGTTGAAAATAGAAATTATATATACAATTATATATAACTGAGTTAAGCACAGTTGACATTTAGATTTCCCTAAATATACATCTTAATACTTAAAATATTTTCCAATGCTGTTCTTCTTTGCTAATAGTTTTGTTCTGGATTTATTCTGCCACCCGTTTAAATTGTTCTGGATTTCCAGTATGTTTTATTGGACCAAATGGAATGGGCTAGTCATTACAGTGCCCCACAATATGTATTGTTGTCTTGCCTACAGCCTACTAACCTACTACTACTCAGAAAATTCTAGTTTCTTGAAAATATTTAAAAAACTAACACCTTACCTGCTCCCATATATCAAACACCACAAGGGAAGCTTCTTCATCATCAACTATCATGGATCTGTCATAAGTATTGCCTGCAAGGGAAATTCAAGAGACATGGCAGTGAGTAATAAATCTTTCCTTCCATGATATGTGTCATCAACCATGCAAAGAAACAGCTGTCATTACTGAGAAAACCAGCAAATACAGAAAGACTGTGATCTTAAATAAGTAAGACAATCACAAATATAGATTCAGAAGCAGAATGGCCACATAATTTGGTACAGAACAAATTATATAGAGCTAGTTTGGTACAGGACACAACTGGTATAGAACATAATTTAGTACAGAATAAATGATATAGGAATACGTCCTCCAAGACTCGTTTCATCTGAAAATCTTTTAAGGTGAAGGGCCAGCCCTACCATTTGGCAGGCCAGGCAAACACCTCTGGTAGCATTGCTGATGGGCAAGAGCAGCAAACCTCCAGTGGTTTCCCCAACTCCTAGGCTGTTCTGCTCTGCCAAAGGCCAGAGACACCTGTCCTATCCATCCAGTCCTAATTCCCCAAACAGGCCGGGCACTCTCAGGGGTCGGGGAGCATACAACCTCACTGCCAGTGTAGTTTTATACGAAAAGGTTGGCCAGACAGGACAAATTCTCAGTTCCACATTTAGGCACCTTACTGTTGTTGGCCTGATAAAGGCATTGTAATGAAAGCTATTCTTTTGAAGTTTATTCTCTTTACTAAAGTTTAAATGGGGGATGGGTGGGTTGGGATTTCAGCTGCCCAAGCTGAAAATAGCACAAACGGCACAAAAAAAGATCACTGCCTTGCTTCTGATATTTGTATTTGATAACATTCAATACAGTCCACACTTTGAAAACAAACAAGCATGTGTATGATTAAAAAGATGGCATAAATATCCAGGAAAACATTTTAGAAGTTCTAGGAAAAAAACTAGGGCTGTTTTCACAAATGTCTTTTCCTGCTTGAGGCAAAGCACAAGCCAGCCTTCCCCAGCTTCTGACACCTGAGGCAGTGGCCTTGCCCTGCCTTAATGGAAGGATGCTCCTGGAAGAACAACAGATTGTCCCACTAAACTGCATTTAGGCAACTTCACCCTAGTTTGACTCCACACACACACCACGTGGGATTCTGTTGCAACTGGAATCAAAGGGGCTGAAAAGAAGCGCTGAGGGCCCTGCACTGACGAGGGGCAGAATCACGCACATGCATGTAGGCGCACACTTTAGGAGGAATCTTGGTCACATAAACACCAAAGATACTACTCTCCAGAAAAATGCTTCAAGTGTAAATTCTGCATTGAAGATATTTTATTGTTGTTGTTGTTTTTAATGAACTTCAGCCTCTGCAAGATGTCTATCCTTTCTCCCTAGGAGTGTGTCATTGTTTTCATGTGCTATCAAACCAGAACTGACTTAGAGTGACCTTATAGGTCTTTCAAGGAAAGTAGATGCAGAGAAGAGCAACAAAGATAATAAGGGGACTGGCTGCTAAATCCTATGACAAACAACTAAAAGAATGAGGTATGTTTAGCTTAATGAAGAGAAGACTCAGGGGAGACATGATACCAGTCGTCCAATATCTGAAAGGTTGCCACAGAGAAGAGGGCATTAATTTATTCTCCATTGCACCCAAGGGCAGGACATGAACCAATGGGTGGAAACTCGTCAGAGGGAGACGCAACCTGGAAATAAGGAGGATTTTCCTGACGGTGAGAACCATTAAGCAGTGTTTTCCTGACGGTAAGAACCATTAAGCAGTGGAACAGCTTGCCTCCTGATGTTGTGGGTGCCCCCGTTGCTAGAGGTTTTCAAGAAAAGATTGGACAGCCATCTGTCTGGGATGTCTTGGGCAGGGCGTTGGACTAGAAGACCTCCAAGGTCCCTTCCAACCCTACAACGATTCTATGATTCTGTGGGATGTTTAAGGAGAAGTTTTACCAGTTCCACAGCCTCACTGAGTTTCCATGGCTGAGAGATTTTAACCCAGGCCTCCTGAGTCTTAGTCTGTCACTTTACTATATCAGACTGGATGTCCTAGGAATTTAGGGGGATCAATTTTGCTGTCTAGGAGCTTAGACGTTTTCCCAATTTATCCTCACAATAAACTTGTAAAATTAGTCAAAGCTCCAAAATGAGAACCTTGGACCATTCACTTAGTCAAAGCCTATGGCGCAGAGGAAATCTGTCTTATTATTGTTTTTCCTTTCCCCACTACCATTAACTGCACTGGGTTTTTCAAAAGAGTAAGAGGAATAGCATGCCTGTAATCAATATTCAATTTATATGAACTTTACATGTAGCCATTTTAAAAAAGGGTCTGAGGTGCATTCATTTTGATGAGGGTGGACAGCCAGGGTCCTCCACATGTTTTTGACTAACAACATCCATCACCCCTAACAAATATAGCCAAGGATTACAGAAGCTGATGTCCAGAGGACCAGACTTCCCTAATTTAGACCATAACCTATACCCTAGAATCCCTTCCTCCAGTAGTGTTTTTCTTTGGTAAAACAAGGGAACTGCTGTCTCAAATCATCATCTATCACACACTCATCCCTTTAACATGGAATTTCTTTATACCAAGTCTCGCTACTGCTTCACTTATTCTGATGGACAACAATGATCTAAGTTCTCCAGCAGAAGCTGAGAACTTCATATATACCACTATAAACGGTTGGTTGTGATTATTGTTGTCATTTGGAACTTAACATCAGCCTAAAGTGTGTGTTTTTTTTGGGGGGAGGGTTGAGACTAATCCAACATTCCAGTCACTACTGGCTCCTGTGTGTGTGCATATGCGTGAGTGCAGGCATGCACACACATATGTATGTACTGTATATATGTTAATTGTTTTGCTGCACCCTATATTTGAAGTTATGACCATAAAGACATAATTTTAAACAGAATACTTGGTGGTTTGTTTTACACTAAATATGTGGATCTTCTGTTCCTCATGAACCCTCAAAACCTTGCACCTTTAATGAGAGATTAAAGATTCAGGCATGACACTAGAATCAGATCCAGATATTTGGCCCCAACACATGAATCATCAGAAGCTACCTTTGAGAAAGTCAGATCCAGCTGTCAAGCTTTCTCCCTTCTGCATGCAAAGTGACTCTGCCCCTTACAGTGATGCAAACGGTACTTAATCAGACTTTCTGCAACTATATATGGGAAATCCACAAGCACAGCATGGTGAAAGGGGGACATGATTTCCCTCCTTTTCCACATTCTCAGTACTAGCATTCTGGGTCACTGTTTCATGACACTAAATAGGGAAGATATGCAATCCTGGGGAGCACCGCAAGATATGCTTCTTCCCATGGTGTATGATTTACTACTAGATGTCATGATGACCACTTGCATAAATGTGTTTAAAGAGGAGCAAGGACAATTTAGAATGGATATGTCTCTAAAAAGACCTTAAAACAGCTATTCTGAGCCATTCTATGAGAGATAAAACAAAAGCCAAGGCTGGATCATATCAACAAAAATATTAATGTTTTCAAGCTTTCCAGAATTATTCCTCAAATTGGGAAAGAAAGGGAAAGGAAAGGAAACCAGGGGATGGAAGGACCAGGGTGTTTCTTCACCCACTCACTGCTTTTAGGGGCACCTCGGCTAATGAAAAGTTCTGGGGAACTCCAAAGCTGGAATTCTTCCCTTCATCCTTCGCTTTATAGCCCATCTGACCGGATGAAAAGTTCTGGAGAAGTCAAATGCCCTTTTGTGGCACGGTCTTAGTTCTAATAAAAAAGCTTCCCAACTATAGTGGACAAGCTTCTGAATAGCTAACAGTCACAGATGGATAACGCAAAACCCCAAGTGTAGAGCTTGCTGAACAGCTGTGTCTGGGAAACCATCACTGAGGGGGGGGGGTCATCATGCCTTGTTTTGGGGCTCCCCGGTGATGCGATCTGAGCTCCCCCTCTGCCTCTCCCCCCCCCGTCCTCTTCCGCCGGACTCACCGGTCTCTTCGGCCTCCGGGCAGTCCTCCACGCCCCCGAAGATCCTGGCCAGGCTGGTCTTGCCCACGCCGTGCTCTCCCAACAGCACGACTTTGTAGAGGCTGCCCTCCGAGTCGCTGCCGGAGGAGATGACCGAGTCGGACGAGTCGGACGCCCAGCCGCTGCCGCTGCCCGCCCGCCGCCCCTCGTCCTCCTCCTCCTGGGTGCGCGGGTGGTAGGAGGCGCTGCGCAGGAGGTGCGGGGCCAGCTCGGCCCCCGGCGAAGGCGGCAGCGAGGCCTGGAGCTCCCGCTCGTCCACCGGCATGCTCCGCCGGTGCAGGTGCTGCTGTTGCTGGTGGTGGTGGGCCGCGAAGGGCATGCTCCCCCGCCTCTTGTCCAGGTACCTCAGCTTGTCGCCGCGGTTCAGAGTCATGGGGCCGCCTGGAGAACGTAGGAGAAAAGGGGGGCGTTCAGACGGCGCGGGCGGGCGCTCCACAGGGGAACGACGCCCACCCTCCGCCGCGCCTCACGGCAACACGAGCCGGAGCCCCCGCCACCCCCACACGCCCCTGTTGCGTGTGCGGCTGCGGTGTCGCTGGAGGATCCGAAGCCGGAACACGCCGCCACTCCGAATTCTATCCGGAATAGCCGCCACACGTCTTGAAGTTTACAGCGAGTCCAAACCCGTGGGTCCCGAACGGGAGAAGGGACCGCGCGGTGCTCGCTCCACCACCCACTAGCACACACACACACACCCTCTCTCTCACAC